TGCAGAACGACGGTTCCGCGACCCTCGACAGGCTGCAATGCCCCGTTGAACCCACGCACGTGCTTCACCCCGTTGCTCGGCCCCATGTCGACGAAGACCGACTTCGTCCCCATCAGGTGGTGGGAGCACCCGCTGTCGAGCAGCACCGCCATCGGGTTGGCCTGCACAGCTGCCGCCACTGCCTGGAAGTCCTCGCCAGCCTCCGGCGCCAGCGAGACCGTCGGCTCCACCACGCCGACCATCGAGCACGACGCCTCCCCGTCGCCTCGGCTCTTGCCGCTGGAGCTATCGACGTCCTTCGTCGACGACGTCTTCTTCGACGCTTGCTTCTCCTTGCGCGACTTCGCTTCTCGACGGGGGCGACAGCTGGTCGACCGGCCACGGCCACCCTTCGTGTCGTCCTCATCGCTGTTGTCGCGGTCGGGGCATTCTTAGGAAAGGTGGTCGGGGTCGCCGCAGATCCAGCACTCCCGCCATCGACCACCACCTCGTCGACCCCTGTCCCGCATCGACCGCTTCTCGTCGACGTCCTTCATCGACCGCCCACCTCCGCTACCACCTCCGCCCGGCTTCCCGCGCTGCCGTTGCTGCTGATTCAGCTTCGTCGATGCAGCGTAGTTTGCCTGCGAAAGGAGCTCTGTGGGCTGTTCGGCCTCCTGCATCGCCTCGTCTTGAAGAATGTAGCTGGTGATGGAGTCCTCGTCGAGGGACTCACGCGTGCCGGGCACCATCATCATCCTCTTCATGAGATTGTAGCTGCGCGGCAAGCCCTTGAACATGTGGGTGATGTAGGACGCCGTCGAGTATCCGGCGCCCGCCATCCGCATCTCAGCCAGGATCCGTCGAGCTCGGTTGCAGTAATCCGTCGCCGACTCCTGCTCGCCCATCCGAATGTGAGTCATCTTCTCTTCCAGCTGCCCGATGTGCAGGTCGTCCCTGACCTGGTACGTCGACAGGATGAAGCGCCATGCCTAGTGACCAGCATCCAGTCGCTCTCGACAGCTCCTGAGCGCCAGCTGCACCACCGGCGAGCAGCACCTTGAGATGACCATGAAGGTGAGCAGGTGAGCAGCCCGAAACTCCCCGCGCAGCCCGACATCCTCCTCGGGCGGAATTGGCACGGTGCCGTTGGCGAAGCCCTTCAGCCCGGCGACCTCCAGCTGAGGTTCGATCGACTCCCTCCAGGTGATGAGGTCCCGTCGACCTTGCAGCGGAGCGACGGTGATTCGATCCGGCGAAAACTTGAAGTAGCCATACGCCGGTGCAATCCCGCCCGCCGTCACATGCGTCGTCGCCGAGAGCCCGCCACCACTTCGTAGAGGAGAGCGACGTCGAACATCGACGTCGGCGCGCGAGCTGCCTGCAGCCGCCGTCGACCGCTGCACTCGCGCCTGGATTCCGTCGACACCACTGTCGACCTTGATCACCCCTATCTGCCTCGTGCCTTCGCTGCCGCTGACTTGAGCACCGCCGTCGACCTCGTCATCGATGCCACCTTCGGTTCGCACCGGTCGAGGAGATGCAGGACGAGAAGGGTGATCCGTCGCCCACTGCGCCCGGATGCCCAACTCGATAATCGTCAAGGGGATCGTCCCGTACTCGCCATCTGCGTGGCGTCTCCTCCCATCAGCCAAGCGTGTCTCCAAGGTGTTCGCTACGCCCGCATCAACAACGGGGTCGACCATGGCGACTAACGCTGCTGCCGGCCTACGAACGGCTTAGTAGGTGCAAAAGTCGGCTCCTATCTGAAGGTCGCGTGTTCGTTCCACGCTCACCGCACCATGCGGAGATTCACTCTACAACGATAGACTACGGGGGTTGGCACGAACTACTAGGAGTGATCGTAGCTTTGCTTGGTTCCTTAGTGCTTGCACATTCACGGGAGAGATTGACAAGAGTTTCCACTAGCAAAGTTGAGAATTCAGAATCATTCAAGAGGGAATAACAACAATGACTACATCAGGCTCCTAGCAACCCTGCAGCTAGCCTGGTCGACCGCCAGCGCAGCTCGGTCGACCGCCTGCCAGCATTGCGTAGAGGAGCCACGCCAGCACTGCAGAAGGGCGACCTGCCAACAAAGCAAGTCGACGGCGTGCCCCGTAGAACACAGCAGTGCGCGCGCTCGTAGGTGCGCGCAGACGATTGGCCCGACTTGCCTCGTTGGGCATCTATCGACTGTTGTCTGCGCCTGACGAGCCACATCGACTTCGGGATACCAGCCCGAAGTCGCCTGCGCCATCGTGATCTCGACAACGTTCACGTGCCTCCGCAGAACTCGTCGAGCAGGTTACCCAGTCGACCTGGTCGACCCCTGGTGCTCTGGTCGACCCTCAGGTGCCTCCGGTCGACCACTGGGTCCCTCTGGTCAACCACCAGGTGCTCCTGGTCGACCACAACTCCCGTCGAGCTACCCCCTGGTCGACGGACCCCTTCCGTTGACCAGAACTGCTTTGACGACCTCCCGGTCGAACTGCAGGTCGACGAGATGCTCCAGAGACCTCCCCGTCGAACCGCAGGTCCTTGTCGACGTCCCACCCGTCGCCCAGACCATTCAGTTGTAGCTGTCGAGCTCCCTGGTCGACAGCAACACCACAGCGGTCCCCTGCAGCTCGACAAAGCCTGTCGAGCAGCTCTCCCACTGTGAACGGTCGGCTGCTACTCCCGTACATCCGACCAAGTCGTCGGCGTTGCCCAAGCGAGGGCGGGGCCAACACTCTATTCTTGTTAACACACCCGAAGACGGCAAGGCTTTAATGCAACTTGGACAATCGGCGAGCAACACCTTGAGATGACCATAAACGTCAACAGCTGGGCAGAATGAAACTGAGCGCGCCGTTCCGCATCCTCCTCAGGCGGCACCTTCACCGTTCCGTCAACGAACTTCTTCAGTTGCGCGATCTCCAACTGCGGCTCAATGGACTCGACCCATGTTGTCAAGTTGTGACGCCCTTCAAGCAGTTTCGGCACAGCGATTTTGTCGGGGGAGAACTTGAAGTATCCGTATTCTGGAGCGATTCCACCATTTGTCGCCCACGAGTGTCCGCCAGTGCTCCGTCGTGCAGAGTTGCTATAACCATGCGCGTCACTACGCGCACTCGCTGCAGCAGCAGACCGAAGGACTTGCGCTTGCGTTCCACCGACGCTCGCGGTGTTCACTCTGACGGCCCCTCCCAGTTCACCGCGCGTAATTCTTGCGCCTTCATTGTCATCAATGTTGATGGTTTTGCCTTCAGCACGGGAAGAAGCGGACTCAATTTCCGCATCAGCGCGAGGAGGTGGGTGATCGCGAGCCCATTTCGCACGAGCTCCTTCGATCATCAGCTTCAGATCCGTGGCGCTGATTTCGCCACCGCTGTGGCGCTCCCGCAAAGCAGCGACCTGCGCTTCCAGGTCCATGATTTCCGTAGCGGCGCCCTCGCCAGCCATACGGAATCAATGTGGCTACCGGCCCAAGGTTGACAACTTCGTCAATCGTACTCGAGGGTATCTGAAGTTCGCGTATGCGTCCACGCTCACCGCACCATGCGGAGAATAGGCGATTATGGGAGAGCCTAGGCGCAGAGTTGCAAAGCGGATGGTTGTAAACCGAATACTGACTTGTAGAAACCGATTACTAATGCCAATCTTGGTATGCAGTAATTGAAGGAACGGAACTAATTAAATAATGAAATTGATAGATTACAACAGAAACAACATGAACCTTATAGAGAAGCATAGTGACGTGTGCAAGAACGTTCTACGAGAACGTTGTTGACGAAGAACATTGTTCAAGGAGAACGTGCAAGCACCTACTCTAGATTGGCACCCAGGTGAAAATGCCATCACGTGAAAATACCGTCAGGTGTATTTCTACCTGCCTAGGAGTAGTTGCGCAGGTTCTTGCAACACTGACAGTTGCACATACGCGTTTGTGCAATGTCGTCACTTCCCTGGTCCAATGTTGAAATGTGCATACCGAAGCGCACAGATTGGAGAGTACTTGGCGAATACCGCGATACTGGTAAAACTGGTATGCGGTATGCGAAGTCTCACTACTCTGCATAGGGCTGCTACACGCGAAACCAGGCGCGTGCAGGGCTTCGCCTTAACACCACCACCATCACCAGCACCACCACCAGCACCACCGCAAGCACCGCCAGCAGCACCAGCAGCAGCACCAACCCCCCCAGCACCAGCCCCTCCACTCCTCACTGAATTCCTCCTCCCTTCGCAGACTGTATGCATTAACATACAGCGACGATCGCATTAGAGGTTCGGCCTCCCTTGGGTGCTCCTTCCTCCAATTACTGTTGGCGTTATCTGCTACTCTCATTACCACTACTGCTGCTGCTTCCACCACCAGACCCACCGCCACCAGCACCACCTACCCCAGCAGCACCAGCACCATCGCCCCAGCAGCACCAGCACCACCGCCCCAGCACCAGCTTCACCCTCTTTGTTGAAGTCCTCCCTCCGTATCTGTACTTGCTGTTGGTGTTATCTGCTGCTCTCACCACCACTGCTACTGCTTCCACCTCCAGCACCACCTGCACCAGCAGCACCTGAACCACTCCCAGAACCACCGCCCCCAGCACCACCCTCCCCCTCCTCGCTAAAGTCCTCTCTTCGTATTCTGTACTTGCCAAAATACAGTGACGAACGCATTAGGGGCACGGCCTCCCCTGGGTGTTCCTCCCAATATGCCTCCTAAAACGGGAGAGGGAAAAGGTTTTGTCTGCAGGTTGATTAAAACCGGAGTCTCAATTTCCCTTCAATTGACTCAACATTCCTACCTTTGGTTGGGTCACCAGGTCCAACCAACCTTGCTACCTTTGAAACCTGTGGTTCTCGGGTTTTAAATGGTCGAAAAAAAGCAATAGGTACACCAGCAAATACACCCGTAATCTGTGTGTTTTTTACAATTCTAAATAGCTCACTGTGTTTCCCTAGATGTCGATAACATGTTCCAGGTACGTGCAACCCCTCTTCACACTGGTATGTGAGAGGAAGGTAGGTACGGCATGAGAGGCACAGCGGATGGCGACATGAGGCAGGGACTGAACAACCTGGAGGCCACTCCCACTGGCTTCGGGTTGGTGAATGCTGATAACATGTTCCGGGTATGTGTGTTGGTGTTGTTTCCATAGGCACTTGAATTAGCAATGGGTAATTGTGGATTGTAGCTCTCAGGTGAGTGATCAGCCTCGCCCACTCAGGGTAGCAGCAACAGTCAATGCGTGTCTATCTGGCAACATTGACAGTACATGCGACAGTGGAAGGCTGTCAGCCATTCACCCCCTTGTGCTTTCCCTGTTCACTCCATTCGATTTCCCTTACCTCCCTCGTCGATCCAGGTGTGCGACCAGCCTCACCCGCTGAAGGTCACAGCGGCAGTCAAGGCGTGTCTATCTGGCGACATTGACACTGCATGCGAGGGCATCCAGGACCTCTTTGCTCTGAGCCTTCTTTTAAGCCAGAATCAATCAAGCCATCCACTTTTTGCACGCATCCCTTTCCCCCCTCAGGTGTGTGACCAGCCTCACCCACTGAAATTCGGAGCGACTGTCAAGGCGTGTCTATCCGGTGACATCGACACTGCATGCGAGGGCATCCGGGACCTCTTTGCTCTGGGCTACGCTGCGTCTGACATCATCACAACACTCTTCAGAATAGTCAAGAACTATGACATGCCCGAGTTTCTGAAGCTGAAGTTTATAAGAGTGAGTCGCCTCTCTTTTGCCAGTGAAAGGTGGGCAGATGGGTGCACAGGGCGTCAGAGGGCTGGACCTCTTTGCTCTGGGTTACGCTGCTTCTGACACCATCACGACGCTCTTCAGAATAGTCAAGAACTACGACATGCCCGAGTTTCTGAAGCTGGAGTTTATAAGAGTGAGTCGCCTCTCTTTTGCCAGTGCAAGGTGGGCAGATGGGTGCACAGGGCCTCAGAGGGCTGGACCTCTTTGCTCTGGGTTACGCTGCTTCTGACACCATCATGACACTCTTCAGAATAGTCAAGAACTACGACATGCCAGAGTTTCTGAAGCTGGAGTTTATACGAGTGAGTCGCCTCTCTTTTGCCAATGCAAGGTGGGCAGATGGGTGCACAGGGCGTCAGAGGGCTGGACCTCTTTGCTCTGAGTTACGCTGCTTCTGACACCATCACGACGCTCTTCAGAAAAGTCAAGAACTATGACATGCCAGAGTTTTTGAAGCTGGAGTTTATAAGAGTGAGTCGCCTCTCTCTTGCCACTGCAAGGTGGGCAGATGGGTGCATAGGGCCTCAGAGGGCTGGACTGTCAAACTCATATGCTATAGTCTGTGTAGGCTGTAGTGGGGTAGACAATATGGGGTACAACACTTTTAGGTTTTCCTACTTGTACCCACCTGCTTGCTAGTTCATTCATTCCTTCCTCATTTCTTCACATGGTATAGAGCAGGTTCCCTAGTGGGAACACTTCTCAGGGCCCACCACGATATTTTTTTTTCCTGCCCGGAGCGCGCTTCGCTTCTGCCCGAGTCGCGCCCCGTGTGCCCTCCCTACCGTCGCGCCCTCTCACGGCCCCTCACGGCCCTTTCGCGTCGCCCTTAGCGGCCCCTCTCACGGCACTTTGCGGACCCTTACGGCCCCTCGCGCCGCCCTTACGGCCCCTCGCGCCGCCCTTATAGCCCCTCGTGTCGCCCTTACGGCCCCTTACGGCCTCTTGCGCCGCCCGTCGGCCCCTCGCGCCACCCTTAGCGGCCCCTGTGAAAATGAGAACGAGAATGAATGAACTATGAGCGAAGTGGGTACAAGTACTAACCCTAATTGGGTTGTACCCCCTATGGGATACCCCACTATAGCCTACACAAAAGCATAAGCTATAATGTTCTGATAGCCCCTTACGACCCCTCACGCCGCCCTTACGGCCCTTTACGGCCCCTCGCACTGCCCGTCGGCCCCTCGCGCCGCCCTCGTCGGCCCCTTACGGCCCCTCGCGCCGCCCTCCTAGGCCCCTTACGGCCCCTCGCGCCGCCCTCGTCGGCCCCTTACGGCCCCTTGCGCCACCCTCGTCGGCCCCTTACGGCCCCTCGCGCCGCCCTTCTCAGCCCCTTCGCGGCCCACCGTCGCCGCCCCTACTACAGCAGTCGCAGCCGTCACCAGCAGCAGCCGCAGCCGTCACCAGCAGCAGCCACCGGCGTGCCTCGGCCCGACCCTGCCGGCGCGCCTCGGCCCGTCCTAGCCGGCGCGCCTCGGCCCGTCCCTGCCGGCGCGCCTCGGCCCGTCCCTGGCGGCGCGCCTCGGCCCGTCCCTGCCGGCGCGCCTCGGCTCGTCCCTGCCGACGCGCCTCGGCTCTGCCTGCGCACCTCGGCCCGTCCCTGCCGGTGCGCCTCGGCCCTGCCCCACCACTTGCGGCCCTCTGCCCTGGTAAGAGCGTCGCCGCACTGCTGCTCTTGCTACTACTGCTGCCAGTGCTGCTTGAGGAAAGTAGAACGAGAATGAATGACTAAGGAATGGAAGTGATACAAATATGCAACCCTAGAAATGTGTACCCCATATAGGCTACCCCACTATAGCCTACACAATATTATAATTTGACACTGCTACTGCTACTACTGCTGTCATGGCTACCCCTAGCGTCCTCGTCTTTGATGCTGAGGGTAGGGCTGTTGACTTTGAGGTCTGGGTCGATGATCTGCAGCTTTTCCTACAGTGCGATAGGAAAGACGGTCTCTCACTGTTCGATCTCACCTCTGGCGCCTCTCCTGCCCCTGCTGTTGATGCTGACAGCACTATTCACTCACAGTGGGCCACACGCGATGCTGCTGCCCGTCTTGCTGTGCGTAGTCACTTGCCGTCCACTGAGCGCGCACACTTTAGTCAGTACAAAGAGTGCTAAGACCTTGTACGACGCTGTAGTTGCACGCTACTCTTACCCTGCCACTGCTGCCCTTAGCCGCCTCATGCTGCCGTACCTGTTCCCTGACCTAGCCGCCTTTCCCACAGTAGCTGACCTCATTACGCACCTTTGCACTAGTGACACCCGCTACCGCGCTACGCTTCCTGCTGAGTTCTGCGCCAAGAACCCCCCCCCCATGTACATCACCCTCTACTACATAGTCATCCGGCTCCCTGACTCCCTTCGCTTAGTCAGGGACCACTTCCTCTCAGATTGCCCCACCACACTCAACGTTGACCTCCTCGAGGAGCGCCTCCTGGCAGCAGAGAAGAGCATAGTCGCTGTAGGAGCCTCTCGTGGTGACCCTCGTACCCCCGTCTTTGAGGGGTGTTCCCCCTCCCCCCTCTTGCCCTCTGTTGCTTCTGCTGCTGCGGCCGACCTCGTTGGTTTCGAGTCGGTCGGCGCTGCGTCTGCCCCTAGCGGGAGACGCCGCACAGGCAAGGGCAAAGGGGGCAAGGGCCCTGGAGGGGCTGGCGGGGGCGGTGGAGGTGGCGGTGGAGGCAGTGGAGGGGGTGGGGGTGGTGGTGGGAGTGGTGGCGGGGGTGGAGGTGTCGGTGGCAGCAAAGGAGGCGGAGGAGGCGGCGGTGGTGGCGGTGGGAGCGGAGGCGGTGGAGGCGGCAGCGGCGGCGGCAGCGGTAGAGCTGGTCGCGGCTCTGCACAGAGGAGTGGCTCCGGTGGTGGTCAGCGCCAACAGCAGCAGCGCACTCGTGAGACCCCGTCCCCCCAGCAGCTTCGTGAGTGGTACGCTGGGCGTCAGCGAGGTGGGGGTACTGGTCCCTGTACCTACGTCCTCCGTACCGGCGACCGCGCTGGTGAGCAGTGCGGGGGCTCGCACTCCACCCAGCGCTGCTTCGGCCGCCTGACGGTCGCTTGGCATTACCAGTTCCCTGACGCCACTGAGATCCCTCGCTAGGGGGAGCTGTCTAGGGCAGGGGTTGCTATCTTTGATCTTGACTATGATGCTATTCTTGCTGCCATGTATGCTGTGTCTACTAGTGATGAGGGTGACTGTTACCTGTGTGTTCTGCCTGACCCGGGCATTGAGGCTGCTGCTCTAGGTGCTGGTGAGGCGGCTACTCTAGGTGCTAGTGCGTCTGCTGCCCCAGGTGCTGGTGAGTCTGCTCTGTCAGGTACCACGTCGGCTCAGGCCTTACACACCTTCACCCTTGACTCGGGTGCTTCCCACTCCTTCTTTCGAGACCGCACCACACTTACGCCGCTTAGTCGGCCGGTGGCGGTCTCCCTGGCGGAACCCTCTGGGGGTCATGTCCTTGCTAGCTTCTCCACTGTCTTACCGTGCCCGGCAGCCCCCTCTGGCACCCTGTCAGGTCTCTACCTCCCCTTGTTCTCTACGAACTTGGTAAGTGGTGCTGATCTACAGGATCGGGGGGTTGACCAGTTCACTCCTGCGAGTCAGCGGGTGACCCACTGTACGTGTGCTCGGACGGGCCGACACTTGGCCACGTTTACCCGTCGGCCGGGGTCGAGCCTGTACACACTGACTACTGAGTCTCCTCCGGTTGCTGCGTCTGGTCAGGTAGCTGCGTCGAGTCAGGTGCCTACTACAGCGTCCAGGTCTGGTCCTGAGTCTGCTCCCTGCTCGTGTCCTCTCCTGTCCCACCAGACTCTCCTTTGGCACCACCGCCTTGGCCACCCCTCCCTGCCTCGTCTCCGAGGCATGGCCTCCCGTGTCCTTGTCTCTGGTCTCCCCCGGTCCCTCCCTCCCCTCCCTCCGGAACCTGCCCCTACCTGCGTTCCCTGCGTCGAGGGGCGGCAGCGCGCCGCCCCTCACTCCTCCGAGTTTCCTCCGACAGAGGCTCCTCTGCAGACTCTTCACATGGACGTGTGGGGCCCCGCCCGCGTCTGTGGCCAGGGTAACGAGCGCTACTTCCTGTTGGTGGTTGACGACTACTCGCGTTACACCACAGTGTTCCCCTTGCGCAGCAAGGGTGATAATTGAGGTGTTGATCGACTGGATCCGCGCAGCTCGTCTCCAGCTCAGAGAGAGTTTCGGCTCGGACTTTCCTGTTCTGCGTCGGCACTCTGACAGAGGCGGGAAGTTTTCTTCTGCCTGTCTGGGAGCGTTCTGTCGTGCACAGGGCATCCGCCAGACCTTCACGCTTCCGGCCTCTCCACAGCAAAATGGGATTACTAAGCGCCGCATTGGCATGGTCATGGACGTCGCTCGTACGTCCATGATCCATGCGGCTGCTCCCCATTTTCTGTGGCCGTTTGCGGTTCAGTACGCAGCGCATCAGCTCAACCTTCAACCCCGGGTCTCCTTGCCAGAGACCTCCCCCTCCTTGCGGTGGACGGGGAAGGTTGGCGATACGTCTGCGTTTCGGGTCTGAGGATCTCGGGCGTTTGTCCGCGAATTGTCTGCGGACAAGCTGTCCCCCCGTGCTGTTCCCTGCGTCCTCCTTGGCTTCCTCCCTGACGCGCCTGGTTGGCAGTTTTACCACCCCACCTCGCGCCGTCCTCCCAGGACGTCACCTTTGACAAGTCGGTGCCTTACTACCATCTCTTTCCCTACCGCACTGCGCCACTCCCCCCACCGCCGCTCTTCCTTGCGCCGGGTCCTCCCCCGGTAGACCCCCTCCCCCCTCAGGGTCCTGCCCCGTCAGGTGTGTCCCAGGTAGACGCAGTCGAGCCTATCGAGGTAGCTGTTGACTCTGGTGCTGCTAGGGGTGCTGAGCCTCGGGGTGCTGAGTTTGGGGGTGCTGAGTCTGGGGGTGCGGAGCCTGGGGGTGCTGAGCCTGGGGGTGCTGAGTCTGGGGGTGCTGAGCCTGGGGGTGCTGAGTCTGGGGGTGCTGAGCCTGGGGGTGCTGAGCCTGGGGGTGCTGAGCCTGGGGGTGCGGAGCCTGGGGATGCTAGGTCTGCTTCGTCGAGGCGGGAGCTACTCTCTCCGCAGGAGCCGCGCGAGTGGTTTGCCCGCCGCTGGAGCCGTGCTGCTGGAGCTGGAGGTACTACTGTTGCTACTGGTCCTGGAGGTGCTCGTACTGGCGGTACTGGAGCTGCTGGGACTGGGGGTGCTGCTGGGGCTGCTGGAGTTAGTCCTGCTGGAGGTACTACTGGAGCTGCTGGCGGTGCTGGAGCTGCTGGCGGTGCTGGAGCTGACAGTCCTACTGGAGTTCGTGCTGCTGGAGCTGCTGGAGCTTGAGCTGCTGGGGGTGTTGGCGCTGGTGGTTCTGCTGGCGCTGGTGCTTCTGAGGGTGCTAGAGTTGGCGCTGTCGGAGCTGGAGGTGCTGCTGGCGCTGGTGCTGCCTTTGGGGGTACTGGTGCTGTCCCTACTGTTTCTGGAGGTGCTGCGCGGCCGAGGCCGTACTTCGTTCCGCTCCTTGAGCAGGTTCTTGGTCTCCCACCCTCTACTGGTCCTGCTCCTCCCTTAGAGTGTCCACAGCCTGTCCAGTCGCGGTCACAGTTGCAGCCTGCCTCCCCCCTACCTGCTCCTTCTCCCTACACGGGTCCTACTAGAGGTCTTGCTGAGCATCGTGAGCCTGCCTCTCGTATTGCGTCACTTGTTCGTGCTGCTCGCACTAGTAGTCGTGCTCCGCGTCCGCGTCCTCCTGCGGTCCCCGGCACACACCAGATGGCACTGCGTCCTTCCACTGCTCCTCTGCGTGTCCCGTTGCCGTCTCCTCCAGAGTCCTCTCTTCCTACTCTTGCTGACCCGGAGTCTGACTCTCTTCGTGCTGCCAGTCCTACTGTCATGCGCCTCCTGGCTACTGTTGTCAATGACCCTTCCTTTGAGTCCACTGCTGCGTCTACCTTGGTTGCTGAGCTTGTCGACTTTGCTTCTCGTTGTCGTCTAGACTACGCTGCTAGTCTTGTTGCTCAGTCTGAGTCTGTCTGTCCTCCATCCGTCGGGGGTGAGTGTGCTCTTAGCACGGACGTCCTTGAGGACAGGCAGGAGGAGTTCCAGTGTTTTGCTACTGCTTTGCCTCATCTCGTGTCCACGCTGATTGCCCCTGAGGGAGACCCGGATGCACCAGACATCCCGACTCCTCGATCGTACGCTGAGGCGATCGAGGGTCCCTACTCCTCACAGTGGCAGTCAGCCATGGACGCAGAGATGGCTTCCTGGAAGTCCACAGGCACCTACGTTGACGAGGTTCCCCCACCTGGGGCGAACATCGTCAGTGGCATGTGGATTTTCACGGTGAAGCGGCCGCCGGGTTCTCCGCCTGTTTTCAAGGCGCGTTACGTGGCTCGAGGCTTCAGTCAGCGGCAGGGAGTTGACTACTTTCATACCTTCTCTCCCACCTCGAAGATGATCACTCTTCGGGTGCTGCTGCACATTGCCGCTCAGCGCGACTACGAGCTTCACTCTCTTGACTTCAGCACAGCTTTCCTGCAGGGCAGCCTGCACGAGGAGATCTGGCTGCGCCGCCCACCTGGCTTCACTAGGTCGTTTCCTCCTGGCACCCAGTGGAGCCTCCGGCGGCCAGTCTACAGTCTCCGCCAGGCGCCGCGTGAGTGGCACGACACACTGAGGACTACACTTGCGGCTCTTGGGTTTGCTCCGCCTACTGCCGACCCGTCGCTGTTTCTGCGCACCGACACCTCTTTGCCGCTGTTCTACATCCTCGTGTACGTCGACGACTTGGTCTTTGCCACTGCTGATACTGCTGGACTCGCCCACGTGAAGTCCGAGCTGCAGAAGAGACACACGTGCACAGACCTGGGTGAACTGCGCAGCTACCTTGGCTTGCAGATCACCCGGGACAGAGCAGAGCGCACCATTACCCTGACTCAGTCACACATGGTGCAGCAGATCCTTCAGCGCTTCGACTTCACGTACTCCTCGCCTCAGGCCACTCCTCTGTCTACTCGCCACTCGCTCTCAGCTCTGCCTTCGGATGAGTCCGTAGAGCCGAGTGGCCCGTACCCAGAGCTTGTTGGCTGCCTCATGTACCTGATGACCTGCACACGACCTGACCTAGCATACCCTCTTAGCATCTTGGCACGCTATGTTGCTCCTGGGAGACACCGACCGGAGCACATGGCTGCAGCGAAGAGGGTGTTGCGCTACTTGTGCAGTACGTCGGGCATGGGGCTAGTGCTTGGAGGGCGACGTCCAGTGGTCCTCACAGGTCACGCAGACGCTTTTTGGGCTGACGACCAGGCTACGCAGCGGTCGTCACAGGGTTACACCTTCAGCCTTGGCTCCGGCTCTGTTTCGTGGCGGTCTACCCGCTCGTCTTCTGTTCTTGGCTCCAGCTGTGAGGCTGAGATCTACGCGGGGGCCATGGCTGCACAGGAGCTACGCTGGCTCACCTACCTGCTGAGTGACCTAGGAGAGCCGCCTCGTTCTCCTCCAGCTCTGTACGTAGACAACAAGGCCATGCTGGCCTTGTGTCGGGAGCACAGACTGGAGCACAGAACGAAGCACATTGCTCTTCGCTACTTCCTTGCTCGTGAGCTGCAGCAGCGTGGTTAGTTGCGCCTTGCTTACGTGGCCTCTGAGGCCAACACTGCTGATATCTTTACCAAGGCACTTCCGCCTTGTGATCATCAGCGCTTCTGTACGATGCTAGGTCTTGTGCCTACTTGGCCTCACTTGCTCACTTCTTGACCTTGCTTGTACTGTGATCTTTCTATACCTGCACTTGCTTGTTTACCTTATATATGATCTTGCATGTGAACTGGCCTTGTGGCCTTGCTCTTGTGCTCGGACTGTGTGGTGACGTTGTGATCCACCCTGAGCTTGCTTTTCTTTGCTTGACTGGTCTTGTGACCTCTTGTTCTCCCCCACTTTGCCTATGGGGGTGTGTCAAACTCATATGCTATAGTCTGTGTAGGCTGTAGTGGGGTAGACAATATGGGGTACAACACTTTTAGGTTTTCCTACTTGTACCCACCTGCTTGCTAGTTCATTCATTCCTTCCTCATTTCTTCACATGGACCTCTTTGCTCTGGGTTACGCTGCTTCTGACACCATCACGACGCTCTTCAGAATAGTCAAGAACTACGACATGCCAGCGTTTCTGAAGCTGGATTTTATACGAGTGAGTCGCCTCTCTTTTGCCAGTGCAAGGTGGGTAGATGGGTGCACAGGGCGTCAGAGGGCTGCACCTCTTTGCTCTGGGTTACGCTGCTTCTGACACTATCATGACGCTCTTCAGAATAGTCAAGAACTACGACATGCCAGAGTTTCTGAAGCTGGAGTTTATACGAGTGAGTCGCCTCTCTTTTGCCAGTGCAAGGTGGGCAGATGGGTGCACAGGGCGTCAGAGGGCTGGACCTCTTTGCTCTGGGTTACGCTGCTTCTGACACCATCACGACGCTCTTCAGAATAGTCAAGAACTACGACATGCCAGAGTTTCTGAATCTGGAGTTTATACGAGTGAGTCGCCTCTCTTTTGCCAGTGCAAGGTGCGCAGATGGGTGCACAGGGGTTCAAAAGGGTGCACAGGGGATCAGGGAGGGCTGAAATCTCTTTGTTCTGGGCTACGCTGCGTCTGACATCGTCACAACACTCTTCAGAATAGTCAAGAACTACGACATGCCCGAGTTTCTGAAGCTGGAGTTCATCAGGGTGAGTCGCCAATTGGGTGCAAAGGGGTGCAGATGGGTGCACAGAAGAGGGGATCGGGAGGGGGTGGATCTCTTTGCTCTGGGCTATGCTGCTTCTGACATCATCACGACACTCTTCAGAATAGTCAAGAACTATGACATGCCCGAAGTATCGCTTGAGACCCTGACATCTTATCTCCATGCCTACCCGTACATACCTGCCCTTTCCTTGTTGCAGGAGGTTGGGTTCTTTCACATGCGGATAGCAGACGGAGTGGGTTGAGTCATGAGTTAATTTCCTTGTCTCTCCCTGTTCTCTCTCGTGTTGCAGGAGGTTGGGTTCTGTCACATGAGGATAGCAGACGGAGTGGGGTCGGTGCTACAACTATCGGGCTTAATGGCCAAGCTCTGCAAGATAGCCAGAAACGCAGCTCCTAAGTAGATGAATTGCCACTCACTGGTGTGCGTAGGCACAGCACCACAAGCTTGCTGCTGATCGGTGCTGCAAATATCAGGCTTGATAGCCGAGCTGGGCAAATTAACCAGAAACGTTGCTCCGAAGTAGGGCCATATTTGTTGATGAATTTGCATATAGAATTGTATTGTAGATGACCGTAAGAGAACTTTCAATGCAATGCGACTAATCAAGCTCCACAGTGGTCTGAAGGCCTGATTTCCTTGACTCTCTCTCTGAGGCTAGCTCATCTCCCCCTGAACGTTGTCCCCACAAACGCCCATCATACCGTTTTCTAGATATTGGTGGTACAGATAAGGTTGCGTTACACAGTCCGCTATAACAGATAAGGTGTACATAAACAATCACTTACTAAGAATTCTTCCAGCAAGTTCAGTCACAGCAATCGCACCATCACTCGGATTCGCGTCCATCGCGCCGTCGCATGCGTGAGATGCAAGGATCAGTGTCCCGCGGGATGGCGAAACCTGAATCGCGGAATTCTGGGTTCGCAAACCACTGAACCAGTCTTTCGTAATGTAATTTCGTCAGTTTGATAACCAGTCACGATTCGCGAAAGGCTCTCAATTCTCACCGCAATTATTCGCAGCAAATTTGATTGCGAGGTGAGCCCACAAAAAATCAACACAATCATCAGTTGGAAAACTCGTGCGATTCGGGCTGCAAAACTCCACACGCCAGTTTACAGCAAAACCAAACCCGCGACTCACGGCAGCTACCTCACGAAGCACAAGTCCCGTAGAATAAGTAGAAGCTAGCCATGCCGTTTCAGTTCATCACAAGTTCCAATCATCTTCACCTTCTCATCTTAAAACTACATCGTACCAGCTAGAACGGTTCAGCGTTGCCCGCTACAAACAGAAGCGAAAATGACTCTGGCTAAGACCACTTTCCTTGTCGTCGTCATCGCGTCTGCGATGCTCCTTTCCGCCCCTGCGCGCGTCTCTGCCGCTGCGGCTCCAGGCAACGCGACTGCGCCTGCTACTTCTGCTAAAGCGGCTGCCGCGCCTGCTAACGCGACTAAATCTGGAAATGCTACAAAAGTCGCTAACAGCGCGCATGGAGTGGCTACGGCGAGGCTGAGCAAGGGCGCGGGCGAAGGAAAGAACTCCACATGCGCCTACTACGGAAACTACAACGCCAACCCTTACTTCGGCAAGGGACTCACCGCGAAGATTCCTGACGCGCTCTTCAGCAAGCGATGCGGCGCGTGCTTCAAGGTGATCTGCAGCAACGACACGAAGCGCTGCCGCAGCGGCAAGGCCACCGTCACCGTCCGCGTCGTCGGCGCCACCAAGACGGAGGGGAAGCAGATTTCGCTCTCCGCCGTCTCATGGGCGAAAATCGTGCAGGGTTCGGAAACTGCCCCTGTGAACATCACGTACAAGCGCACCAACTGCGTTTCCACCGCCGGATCGGCGGTGCGCGTGCGCAGCAACTCCACCGCGGAGCATTTTAACATTCAGATGGTCGGCCTTGCCGGGCCCGGCACGCTTACCGAGGTAGAGCTTAGCGCGGACGGCAAAAAGTGGGTGAAGCTGACCCGCGACGGAAACAAGGCGATTTGGGGGATCAAGGGCAAGGAGGCGAAGGCGGTTGTGGGCGCGAAGAAGGCTATGAGCGTTCGCCTCACTGCGGGACACACCAGGGAGAAGATCACCCTCGCGAATGTCATTCCCACCGCCTGGAAGCCTCAAACGCTCTACTCGTCCAAGACCAACTTCAAGAAACTCATGGCTGAGGCCAAGTAGGCAAGTGGTAGGCGTGGGTTTCGAGGCGTGGGTTTCTAGGCGTGGGTTATGGAGGCGTGGGTTTTGGAGGCGCCTTAGAAGAAACCCGCGACGGTGTATTCGTCCAAGACCAACTTCAAAGAAGCTCATGGCTGAGGCTAGGAAAACGTTAACTGTGCGCTCAAGGCGGTTGAAGAAAAATCTAGGTGCCACCTCAATCCTCTGCGCTCGTCCAAGGCTAACTTCAAGAAGCTTATTGTAAGACCAAGTAGGCCTGGTGCGAAGAATATTTGCGGACTCGTCCAAGTCAGGGCGAAGTGGGTTAGGGGGAAGGGGAGGGGATAGGTTAGTGGGGGAGTGGGATTGAGGGTGGGGAGTGCGATGATGCAAAAGGGCTTTTGTATGCACATGATTTTTGAGTCAACAATTTGATTTGCTTGAGTTCAAGACTCGTCCAAACTTCTCTGCTGTGCAGAGTACAACGGAATACAACAGGGTTTAGGTCCCCTGCTGCTTCCACCACTGAAACCAGCAGCAGTGTTTTTCAGTGAAACCAGCGCCACCTGCACCACCCTTTCTCCCCACCACCGACCTCCCTTGCAGGCTACCAAAAACCACTACCGTACCTTATTCTCAACACTGGTTACCACTGGTTACCAGTATTTCCGGCGATTCCACCACCAGGACCACCACCGTCACTAGCCTCACCAGTAACTCCAATAATTCCATCAACTACAGAACCAGAACTGTCAGTGTTACGCCTGCTGCGGCTCCCACTATCCCTACTCCCATCCCAAACTGCTATTGCTGCTGCTGCCGGCGCCGGCGCCGCCACCGCCACTGTTGCTGCGGCTGCTGCTGCAGGCACCATCAAAACCAGAATCACCTGCCACGGCATTGTGTGACACAGCATCACCTGGCTCCTCCTAGCTCTCTCATTTCAGCACTGTTGCTGAAATGTTCTCACCCCTGCCGCTGCTGCCGCCGCCGCCGCCGCCGCCGCCGCTGCTCCTCCTGCCACCATCGAAACCAGAATGACCTGCCATGGCATTAAGTGACACAGCATCACCTGGCTCCTCCTAGCTCTCTCATTTCAGCACTGTTGCTGAAATGTTCTCACCCCTGCCGCTGCTGCCGCCGCCGCCGCCGCCGCCGCCGCCGCCGCCGCCGCTGCTGCTGCTCCTGCCACCATCGAAACCAGAATCACCTGCCATGGCATTGAGTGACACAGCATCACCTGGCTCCTCCTAGCTCTCTCATTTCAGCACTGTTGCTGAAATGTTCTCACCCCTGCCGCTGCTGCCGCCGCCGCCGCCGCCGCCGCCGCTGCTGCTGTTGCTCCTGCCACCATCGAAACCAGAATGACCTGCCATGGCATTGTGTGACACAGCAGTAACCTGGCTCCTCCTATCCCACTCTTTTCAACACTGTCGTTGAAAATGTTCACACCACTGCTGCTGCTGCTGCTGCTTTGACCACCTACGGCCACGGCCCACCATAAACACCTTCCCCAGCAGCATTACCTGCACGAGTACCAGCCTCCCCCTCGACCTCACTGAAGTTCTCTCTTTGTTTTACAGAGGATTGCATTGAAGGAATAGCCTCCCTCTGATGCTTCGCCCCTGGATGCTCCTCCCTCGGATGCTCCTCCCCCGAATGCTCCTCCCTCGGATGCTCCTCCCCCGAATGCTCCTCCCTCGGATGCCCCTCCCCCGAATGCTCCTCCCTCGAATGCTCCTCCCCCGAATGCTCCTCCCTCGGATGCTCCTCCCCCAGGTGCTCCTCCCCGGGTGCTCCTCCCTTAGATACTCTTACTATCAGTGCCCATGTTATCTACTTCTGTCACCACCACTGCTGCTGTTGCTAATGCTGCTTCCACCTGCGGAGAATAGGCGATTCTGGGAGAGCCTAGGCGCAGAGTTGCAAAGCGGATGGTTGTAAACCGAATACTGATTTGTGGAAACCGAATACTGATGCCAATCTTGGTATGCAATAATTGAAGGAACGGAATTGATTAAATAATGAAATTGATATATTACAACAGAAACAACATGAACCTTATAGAGAAGCATAGTGACGTGTGCAAGAACGTTCTACGAGAACGTTGTTCACGAAGAACGTTGTTCAAGGAGAACGTGCAAGCACCTACTCTAGAATGCGGTTCCAGGTTGGCACCGCCAGGTGAAAATACCATCAGGTGAAAATACCGTCAACAATATTTCTACCTGCCCAGGAGTAGTTGCGCAGGTTCTTGCAACACTGACAGCTGCACATACGCGTTTGTGCAATGTCGTCACTTCCCTGGTCCAATGTTGAAATGTGCATACCGAAGCGCACATATTGGAGTGTACTTGGCGAATACCGCAATACTGGTAAAACCGGTACGCGGTATGCAAAGTCTCGCTGCTCCGCATAGGGCCGCTACACGCAAAACCAGGCGCGTGCAAGGCTTCGCCTTAACACTCCCCTGCCCTGCTCGTGCCTGGGCAACTGAGGAGTTAGCACACCACACAAAGCGAAAGGAAATAATAGAGTACAACAGGGTGACGATCCTGATACTCGTCCGCGTGTTTTCCGCACACGCATACTCATCGCACCAGCCATGTTGAAGGACATGGCACCTATTCCTGCTCGTTGTCACGCTCGTCGTCTGCAAGATCAACTTGCCCAATGGCGACAGAGCAGCGCTTGAATGCCGGGGAACGTAGTGCCTTCGTGAGATAGTCCGCGGGTTGCTCGCTCGTCGGGATGTACGTAAGCGCGATTTTCTTGCGCTTCACCATCTGCTGCAGCCATATGTACCGCCTCTCCATGTGCTTGAGACTCCCCCTGAGCCCCAACCCTTCCGCAACCGCAATTGCATGTGAGTTGTCCACGTGGATGACAGTCGGCACCCCAGCATCTAGAAAGTGCAAACGGTGCGCCTCCTTGCCGGCCTCCATTGTAGCAATGTATTCGGATTCCGTTGAGGACAACGTCATGCACTTAATCCTCTGACTTGCCCACGAAAGTGCAGCTCCGCCAAGAACAAAAACGTATCCGCTGGTACTGCTGCGCGTCTGCCGGTCACACGCATCATCGGAATCCGCATACCCCACCAGGCGCAGAGTATCCAGACCACCACCGAACTCGAGGGCGAAATCGCGGGTGTCCACCACGTAGTCAATGCAGCGGTCCAGCTCCCTCCAGTGCTGGTCAGTGCGAATCGTCAACCCCGAGCCCAACTTGCTGCATGCGTATGCGATGTCGGGACGGGTCGTAGTTGTGGCAAACTGGAGCGAACCCACTTTCTGATGATACTCTTCCTCTTCACGCGCTTGGTATTCTTCGTCGTCAAATGTCAACTCGGTGTACGCGTCGACCGAGATAGGCGTTTTTGGGCAGCGACCTGTCTGCTCTTCGTCCACAAGCGGCGACGCAGCTTGTCCACGTATGCGCTTTGGTGCAGCCACAGCTTGCGCGCAGACCTGTCCCTTACTATCTCCAGACCCAAATACTTCTGCACGGGATTGATTTCCCGTAGCTCGAATGCGTTTTGCAGAAGCTCATGGAGGTCCTTCAGCATCTCGAGGCTGCTACTTGCGGCGAGCAAATCGTCAACGTACACCAGCAGCCAGCAACCGACGCCATCAGCACCAAACTTGAAGTAGAGCGCTTCGTCAACCTGACTCTTGCTCCACCCGCCGCCAATGAGTATGCTGTCGAGCGCCGAATACCACAGCAGTGGACTCTGTGTGAGTCCGTACAAGCTCTTCAGAAGCTTGCACACGCGAGATGTACCGTCGTTGAAGTACGCCGCCTGCTCCATGTACAGAACCCGGTCCAATTTGCTCTGCAGGTATGCGTTTTTCATGTCCAACTGCATGACGTGCAGATCGAGTACCGCGACGATGGAGAGGAAAATGCGCAGTGTAATGTAGCTGCCAACCGGGGAATACGTCTCATCATCCGCGCCATAAATCTGCGTAAATCCCTTCACGACGAGCCGTGCCTTCTCGCGAGCGACCGTGTCGTCGGCGTTGTACTTTGTCGTAAGAACCCACCGGTTCTTCATGACATTGACGCCGCGCGGTCGAGGCACCAACTCCCATGTTCCGTTGGCAAGGAGGCTACGCATCTCCTCATCCATTGCCGCTTTCACCGCCTTCCCCTTCTAGCTTGCAACCGCTTCCTTGACGGTCATCGTTCCAATCGTTCAGGATCAGCGTGCACATCGGGATCTAGTTCTGGCAGCGTGGTATCCGCATTTGCGTCATCGAGAAGCGTGTTAGCGAATACCGGGCACACGTCGGCCCATTTCTTTGGAGGCACACCAAAGTTGGAGCGGGTGGAATGCCGTGTTGGCGGCTTTATTTCCACCACATCGCTCGAAGAACTTGTCAGAATCCCAACCACTAGACCATTGGGATAAAAGGGCTTATCAAGTAGCGGATCAGTGTGCCCATAACCCTCCATGCCAACGTGCCTGTAACCCTTCACTAGGATCAATCGGGGATCTCCAGTGGACCCCTGACACCCCCCCGCATTGGGATGCCTGAAGTGCACACACTGAGATTCGAAACCGAGATCTTCGCTCTGATACCATGTCAGAATCCCAACCACTAGACCATTGGGATAAAAGGGCTTGTTACGTAGCGGATCAGTGCGCCCATAACCCTCCAGGCCAATGTGCGTGTAACCCTTCACTAGGATCAATCGGGGATCTCCAGTGGACCCCTGACAGAACTGTCTCCAAACGACTCCCCTGCAGCTTCGCCGATGACCTCCACAACGTCGCTCGACGTGCTGCCGCTGATCTGCTCCCCTGTCAACTGCTCCCCTGCCGGTTTCTGCATACTAGGCGCCGGTTTCTGCAGGCGCCGATTTCTGCATACCGGGTGCGCCATCCTTACAAGATGCGGCAGGTCGACCGTCGACGATGCCGATGCGTTGCGCCGAAGGTAGCGCGTCATGTCTCCCCTCATCGTTGTCGGCCGACTTGGACGGGGTGGCGGCGGTGGGAGTTAGGCTTTCTGCAGCTG